CTACTGTGTCAAGTGTCTGGAGTTTGCTGTGCATCGGTAGGATTCCATTGCTGAGCTGATACATTTATTTGATAGGTTTTCAATGTATTTCCTTTTTTATGCAAACTCTAAAATACATTATATTCACATGCAGTTGTTGATAGTGTTTGTAGGGGCCTACACCAAACCAACAGAACCCTGAATTTGTCATTTTGCTGATTCAAATGTAAATTTTTTGTAGGAGATTTTGTCAAGTGTTTTATAAAGTATGCTTATACCCAGAGAATGATTGAATAATATGGTTACAACTTACATGATGTTCTTTTGTAGCATCATTTGAATTTGATGGAAAAGTCAGAAATTAAGATTTAAGAGTTACACCCCTAATGAACAGAGCCTTAGCTGTAGTGGAAGATTTGGTTCCCCTTTCTCAGGCTTTCAGTTTATTAATATCTTTGTCATCGTTATATTCTAAACCCTCTTTTTAGGTACTGTCTAGATATCATTCCAGACACTCTTGATGAATTTGTTATATGGATTTGTGATAAGTGCATGTCTAAGGATCCAAACAAATTCATTATACAAAATTCAGAAGCCAATCAGGATTGCTCCAAGAGAGTAAGAAACTTAACCAATTTGAAGCATTGTAATAATGTTGCCAATAGGGAGAAAAACTGAAGCATTTCTGTCACATGTCAGGTAAAGAAGAAGAGTGATGAGAATATTATTGCCAAGGAGATGCAAGGGGCATGCGCTAAAATTGATTTGACCAAAACACCTCATCTTGCACTTGATAGTTCAGTTGGGAAATTGAATGGGGGAGTAAGTATTTCATTTGAGCCTTTTGAAGTCCATATGGAACTTGAAAATACTAGGGAAAGCAACTAAAAAGAAAAATGATGAGTGACATTCCACCGAAGGAAAATTAGTGGGAAAAATAAATGCTAATATGTTTCAAACTAAATTTATTTGTTTGTTTCTATTATATTCGGAGTAATGATTAAAGAATATATATATATATATATATATAATTATATATATATATATATATATATATATATATATATATATATATATATATATATATATATATATATATATAGGGATTGACTACAGTCAGATGACATCTTTCGGTCAGATGACAGTTTAGGTCAGATGACATGCTTCAGAATGAGCACCACATTGTTTGAGAATGAGCACCACTTTATTTCAGAATGAACACTACACTGAGCAGATTGTGAATGAGTACTAGGTTGTTTCAGAATGTGTACTACGCTTATAATGAACAAATGTGTGAAAATCAACCCTACAATGTCTTAGAATGAACACTACATGGATTCAAAATGAACCATATGTTGTCGTCTCGCTGACTTGGAATGAACACTACATTATGATGAACAGTTGTGTGAGAATGAATCCTACATTGTTTTAGAATGAGCACTACGTTGATTCAGAATGAGCCATACATTGTCATCTGACCGAAAGTGTCATCTGACCGAAACATGTCATCTGACTGGAGTCAATCCCATATATATATATGTGTGTGTGTGTGTGTGTGTGTTAACAAATATACTCGTATATATTTATTGTTTCAAGGTAAAAACAAATGTAATATACTTTCCATCTCATTTTTTCCCTCTCCCTATTGTTTTTCTGGATCCATACACACCCTTGAATCTTGATTGATCTCATGATGCACAAACTATCAATCATCTATAGCCATGATCACATGCCTAACCCAAATAACTAATTTTGAAGGGGAAGCTTGATGAACAGATCAATCAATCTTGTGCCAAACACGTTGTTAGAAGTACACAAGATGACCAACCATCTGGAGGGCGGCCCGTTAGTGAAATTATCTGGGAGTGAGTAATGTTTTTATTTATTCTAATAATAATAATCTTGCGAAGCATAGATTATTCTGAAAATATGAAACATTCTTACTGTTTTCCCATTGTGATCACAGGGGATGTTTCAAAATATGCAACAAAGATTATGAGATCTTTGATGGGCTGGTAGCTCATCTATCAATTAAGGCGTGTGAGAAGGTTTACAGGGAAGCAACATTATTCCCACCCATGCTTAAACTGGAAATGCTGCCCAAATCTGCTATTTGGCCCAACAGTTTCCGTAATTCTGGACCAACCGATGAAAACATTGCCTTGTATTTCTTCCCGGCTAACCCAAAGTAACAATTTGGATACTCTTTCAGTTTCTTTTTTAGGGTCTGTTTGGTGAGTGCATGAGATATGAGTGTTGATATATCCCGATATCAACACCCTTTTGTGGTTACATGGTGAAGCCAAAACAATGTTCAAATTTGATATCTCCCGATATCACAATCCTCCAAAGTGGGGGTGTTTTGATATCTCTCGAATTTGGGAGAAATCAATTTGGCTGTTTTGATATTTCCCCCGACCACCGTAACTACTGTTGTCAATTGCCACTAATTATGAGTAACAACTACCATTTCAGATATCTCGAAACACTTTCATTTCAAATTTCAAAACTCATATCATTTTTGCCAGATTTTAGAACCCTCCGCTAATCAAAGAGACCCTTAATCATTTTCATAGTTTGTTTATGTGCTTCTAAATCTCATCACGATATGTTATTCTTAATACAGATGCGAACGGGGTTTTGAATATTTAGTTGAGATACTGATGGAAGAAGAATTTGCAATGAAAACAACACTGACAAATGCAGAGCTTTTGGTTTTTACTTCCAAAGAACTGCCAAGGCAATACTGGAGTAAGCCCAGCCTGCCCTGCCGTGTGATTTGCATTATACATTTAGACATTTTCTTTGAACTTTGGGGTATATACATTTGAGACTCTGATTGATGATGTCCTTCCCATATTTTGCAGGATTCCAAGGGAAGTATTATCTGTGGGGAGTATTTAGAGGAAAGCAACCATCATCTAAGGGGCCTATTAAAAGATAACAACTACTGCTACGCCCTGTTCTTGGTTGCGATCTTTTGAATGCACAGGTAGATTGTTGGCAACCAAAAACAAAATCTTACCCGTTTTGGTTTGACTTAGGATCGTTGATTTGTTGAACTTGTATTTTTTCAACTATTTTTCTGCAAGTAGAGCTTTACTGTGAATAATTTTTTATGTATTTCCGCTGTACTAGTGTTGTTTACTAGTTTTGTGGAGTAACTTTTATTAACCATAGCCCTAATAAGAGCAATCTACCAAATCTACTATGAATGATCCGATTTAGAGCTTTGAAGCACCAAATATGTCAAGGTGGCGTGCAATCTTCATTCCATCATGGTAGTGTTTTTTTTGGTGCACAATAACGTCAATAAGGTGGCCAAATAGCTTTGACGCCCCCTCTGGTTTGGAAAATTGGCATCAATACCCCATCTGTTTCCAAAACTTATTTCTAAAGTCCCCGTGGTTTCAAAACGTTGCACTCACACCCCCTCTGATCATTTTCTGGCCATCTTTCGGCGAAGAGGGGGCATTGACGCATAATTTTTAAACCATAGGGGGCATTCGTGTTCATTTCTTATTTTCGTTTATTAATCTTCCCTTTTTTAATATTTTCTATCTCTTTTTTCTTTTCCTAGATTTTTTTTAAAGTATATTTTCAATTTTTTATAATGTTTCAAAAATTTTAAAATTCTTTGTGTTTGAAATAAAAATAGAAATAAAAAATTAACATACATTATTTCATCTATCTCCAATTAAACATTTTCACTTTTTGTTACTTAGAATAATTTTTTGGAAATTTCAAAAAAAAAACCCAGAATAAAAAAATAAAATATGGAAAATCGAAATGAAAAAATTAAAATACAGAAAAAAGTCTTATACAAAAAAAATTGGACACGCCTAAAAAAGTTTTTAGAATTGAGATGTACGGAAAGGATATTCATTTTTATTTTTGTATTATTTTGTTTCTTATTTTATTCCTCATTTTTTTGAAGTTCTAAAAAAAATTACTTTTATCCAGAAAAAACAAAATTTGTTAATTTGAGACGTACATATGCATTATATGTTAATTTTTTCAAACAAAAATAACTTTAAATTTTAAGAACATTATAAAAATATTTTTAAAAAACCTTTATTAATAAATGAAACAAAAAAGGAAAAAATGGAAAAAAAATGTGAGAAATAAAAATTAGCACTGATACCTCATATGGTTTAAAAAATATGCACCGATGCCTCCTTTCTTCGCCGGAAAAATGGCCGGAAATTGATCAGAGGGGGCATGGGTGCAACTTTTTAAAACCACAGAGACTTTAGAAAAAAGTTTTGAAAACAGAAAGGGTATTGGTGCATGTTTTGCAAACCACGAGGGGTACCTGCACTATTAGGCCTCAATAAGGTAGTGCTTGGAAATTGCGGATTTGTTTAGATTTATGGATTTTCTTTCTAAGATTCAAATTTGGAAATTCATGACCTTAAATTAAAAGCAAGGTTATGATCTTTTTTTGAAAGAAATACTTGTGCCATTTGTGTCTAGGTCCTCAATGGGCCAGGTTTGAGACGGTCTTTATTATTCTGTACTTTAACCCTTTTTAAAAAAATTGATCCTAACCGTACCCATTTACCCGATGGGTCTTAAAGTTTATTTCTAGATTTCGACTCATTGGGTCTCGGTATCAGGTTGGCTATACTCGTGATAAAAGTGGATGTCTTTTATTTTTGTATGATTGAACAACTTTTAGTGAATGCTATGAATGAAAAATATCTTAATTAAAATTACCGGATGGAATAGTTTAATAAAATGATTTAAAAATAAGTCCAGTCAATTATCGTAAACTAAAACAAACAAATTTGAATTTAAATGGAGGAAGTACGGAGTAATTTTTTTGGGGAAATTGCAACTGTTTGATAGTACTCGGTATATAAGTAAATTTTGCTAAAAACAATCATTTAGAGCCTGTTTAAAAATAACGTTAAAGATTACCGTTAGCGTTTTGGATAAAATTTTAACGGTGCAGAATACTTTGAAAATGCTAAGGCTAAACATTGCTTGTAGATAGCCTTTTCAAAATGCTAACGCTAATCGAAAAAATTATTCCCAAATATGCCCAATGAGTAGTGTAATTAAATAATCCGTAATTTAAAATTACTCCGTAGTTTCCTCTTTTTTTCTTAATGAAAAATTTGCAGCCAAATAATGTACGAGATGGATGATGATTGAGGGAAGGCGAGAGGAAAGTAGGGTGAAATAACCAACTGCCGACGGTACTCACAGCCAGTCAACGATAAGTAGCCACCACCAGCGCCGCCACCATCCTCCGCTCAACACCGCCTCTCTCCTCCGGCGGGAAATTCCCCCATCCCAGACAATGGATTCCTCCCCACTGAATCGCCTCCCTCAAGACACTTTCCACCAGATCTTCGCCCAGCTACCCCTTCGCGACATCTTCATTTCCCGATGTGTCTGCAAATCCTTCAACGCCTCACTCTCTTCTCCGGCTTTCCTCCACCTCATCACCGCCGATCAGCCGCCTCTCTCCCTCCTCGCCCTCCGCCCCTCCCACCGACACTCTCACTGCGGCGCCGGCGCCGCCGGATCTTCCTCCCCTTCTCTCAACGTATTCGACACCTCCCTCAACTACTGGTTCCGTTTCCCCCTCTCCTTCCTCCCCTTCCGTTCTCACTACCCCATTACTTCCTCCCACGGCCTCCTTTACCTCTGGGCCGAAAACCCTACCCCCAATTCCACCCTCCCGCCAGCGAATGCTAATACCAAAACCCTCGTCGTCTGCAATCCCCTCACCCGCGATTTCAGCGTCCTCCCTCAGCTCGGATCCGCTTGGTGCCGCCATGGCTCCGTCCTCGTCGGCTCGCCCAGTCAAGTCCTCGTGCTCACCGAGCTAGCTGCAATCTACTACAGTCCCAAATCATCTCCTGAGAACTGGCAGATATTTTCCTCAAACTTGCCCTCAAAACCACGCAGCCCGGTGTTGATCTCCGACACAATCCTCGCTCTCTGCGATGTTGGATCTCCATGGCGAGCCCAGTGGAAGCTCTTCAAGTCAACAATCAAGGATTTGCAGGTGACCCAGCAATGGACTCGCCTGGAGAAGCAAGAATGGGGGGACATTTTTGACATCCTGAAACGGCCCAGACTGTTGGTGGGTGAGAACAATAAGTTGTTGATGATTGGGGGGTTGAAGATCTCTTACTCATTGCACAACTCTTGTTCCACCATTTTGATTCTGAGGTTGGATCTGGAGAGCCTGGAATGGGAGGAGGCAGGGAGAATGCCGGCTGAGATGTTTAAGCATTTCCCAGATTCAACCAAGTTCAAGGTGTTTGGTGGAGGGAGCAGAGCTTGTTTCTCAGGGAAGAGGGTTGGAAGATTAGCTCTTTGGGAGGAGCGAGAGAATGGAGATGCAGATTGGCGNGTGGGTGAGAACAATAAGTTGTTGATGATTGGGGGGTTGAAGATCTCTTACTCATTGCACAACTCTTGTTCCACCATTTTGATTCTGAGGTTGGATCTGGAGAGCCTGGAATGGGAGGAGGCAGGGAGAATGCCGGCTGAGATGTTTAAGCATTTCCCAGATTCAACCAAGTTCAAGGTGTTTGGTGGAGGGAGCAGAGCTTGTTTCTCAGGGAAGAGGGTTGGAAGATTAGCTCTTTGGGAGGAGCGAGAGAATGGAGATGCAGATTGGCGGTGGGTCAGTGGAGTTCCTGGCAATGGTGATGGACTTTACAGAGGGTTCATGTTCCAAGCTCGGCTTACTGCTTCACCATAGAATCCACATGGAAGAAGAAGGAGAAGAAGAAGAAGAAGAAGAAGAAGAATCTGTGTGATGGTAATGTTATTTATTTACGTTCCACTTCGTTCATTTGAATTAGTACCGAAATATTGGTTTTTAGACTTAAAAAACCAATTGTTGTTGTATGATTATCAACTATAAAGTACTCCGTATCTGTTTTCATTCATTTGAACATATATCCAAATGACAATAGATGATTTAATACATTGTTTGTTGCTACAACTGTGTAACACTTTTATTTATAATCAGAAACACCATGGTAATCTGCTTGAATTGTTTCTCTCGCGTGTTCAATCCCTGCCATCCTTGACCTTAGATTTAGTAATGATCAGAACCATCATCTCAGCGCATTATTCTGTCTCCGTTCAAATAGTCATTTGGTTAGTTCCTTTCCCATTGGTTTCCTAAAAGATTGGTTTTTTTCGCTCATACTTGTATCTGGATGAATTAAGTTGGTTGAGAGAAAGATTCATGAAAAGTTCCATAGAATGCAATGAATCACGAGATGAATCGCCTCTTTTCTGTAATATCCTTATTCTGCAGATTAGCTTTTTCCTGGAGTTTTCACGTTCCCTGCTCTTCATACCTTCTTCTTCTTCTTCTTCTTCTTCCTCAGCATATCAAGCTTTATCTTGAGTCTTGACAGAAACCAGAAGAAGACTAGGAGAATACCAATGGATGTGGTTTAGAAAACGTTACACCAACAATGAAGTATATACCATACGTGTATAATTCAGCAATAAAGTGCACACATTAGGAGAAGGTATCAAAGGGTTTCTTCTTTTTTTCAACTTACTTTCTCTTATATTCTTAGTTCAATTCCGTACTTTCAATTCAAATGGCTCAATTAAAAAAACAGAGCACTTATGTCTTTCTTAAACCTTCAGGGTAAAAAATGCCTTGTTGGATCTAGAGTGTCTTTCTTGTGCATAACAAATGTCTTTCTTTCTACCTACTATTTCTTTACCATAGGACCTTTACGTTTTTTATTGGCTCAAAAGACTTTTTAAATTTTAACATTATTTTTTTCATATTATTAACTATATTACAATGTAATATCTGCTTATATACATTTACCATTATTAATTTGCTAAAAAATGTTTTTATGGAGACATGATATTCTTCATTCTTCCTCTACATTGTTAATTCAAACTTCATTTGATTTTCCACGTGAATTTCTCAAATTTTTAGTTGTTCGATTATATTTTGTAGTTCAATTTTTAGTTTATTTATTTGTTCATTTTTTAAAAATAGCAAGACTTCAATGTAAAATTTGCACAACACAAATAGATTGAAAAACTGGACCAATTTATTTTTATATTTTCTGTTTCAAATTTACTTTAAAATAAAAGTATTATCTCAAGCTAAGATTATTGCACTATAACATGTGACACTGTATGTGAACTTTTTATGACATTTTTTGATATTATATGTTGACATTATGAATCCTATATTGAATAGGAAAAAATGATTGTTTTATTCTATTCGTATGTTTTTTACGAGTAATATTTTGGTCATTCTCCTTTATTATTAATTCACCAAATTGTCAACAATAAAATCTAGCGATTTATAATTTCACAAGCATAACTGTGCTTTGAGATATTTAGCTAAAATTTGAGATGTCTTGTTAACATCACGATGAACAAGCTCCATGAGAATAAACTCAAAAGATGTCATAATCATAGATCAATCTCAATAAGAGTACCAAAATAAGAAGAAGAAAAACAAGAACAAGAAACAACATGTTCACCTTGGATAGCTTGCACTACAAATAAGCAGTTTGAAAATAGACATGAGAGGATCTCTTTTCCATGTCATCACCCCTCCCAAACATGGAGCACAATCCACCCTAAAATGTTTTTGATAAGTAAAAAATAATTATACTATTTAAAGAACGTGCAAAACTCTGTAACTTTTAAATTTATTTTGTTTATAAAAAGGTATAAAAATAAAAGATACTAGTATAATTTATATATTATGGAATAAAAAATTATGTCAAAAATTCTACAAAACAAAAAAATGACAATAATATTATATATTACCAAATATTCAATAAAAAATATATACTTAATAACAAGATCCAGAGGTTGGAATGATAAAAATGACATTTTTCTAGGGATGTAGAATGATTAAAAAAGATTAAAGAAAAGACAATTGTTTGCAACCAAAAAGTATAAATAATTTATGAGACGGATGAACTACCAAATATTCTATAATCAAATTTAAATCATAACTTGATTCGAAGTTTGAAAAACCATACACATTTTAAAAAATCTTCAATAAATTCCATAAAAATTGTCCATTTGGAACTATAAAAATATAAAATTGTCCCATTTGGAGAAAAAAAGGAATAGAAAATGATCTGCGTGCTCTATCTTTCGCAATTCGCACTTCACCGTCTTCAGCAGCTTGCTCGCAACGATGAGCAGCAGCAAGAGCAGCAGTAGTGGCAGGCTCTTCGGTCCAACGGCGGCTCACCACCACACTCCCTGCACCCGCACCCATCAGATCCTCGCCCTTGCCCTAGTCATCACCACCTTCTTCCTCACCCGTCTCTTCCACCAGTCCCTCTACCGGTGCTCCTCCGTGGCGGCGGAGTATGGATCCGGCAACGACGTCGTTCCCTTCTCCGATCTGGGCTCGATCTCCTGGCCCCAACGCGGTTATGGGACCCATCTGTCCCTAAAAATCTACGTCTACGATGAGCGCGAGATCGACGGCCTCAATTTGCTACTGTACGGACGGGAAGGGAAGATTTCCCCCGATTCTTGTCTTAAAGGACAATGGGGTACTCAGGTAATTTCTTCTCTTTCCAATCTTTGTTGCTGGTTTGGTAAGCTCAGTCTATTTTGGCTTAGGTATGATTAGTACTCTATTATTGGGTTTAAGAAAGAGAAGCTATCAAAATGAGCTAATTTTATTGTGAAATTTGTAGGACTAAAACATAAGTCATTTCCCAATGTAGGACTTTTTTATTCTCTAAATAGGAAAAATAATGCCCAAGTGATGCTGGACATTTAGTTGAATAATGACTAATAGATAATGACCAATGGTTCTACATTAGAAAATAAAAGCATATGGTTCTTTATTGAGAAAGTCATTATGTTTTAGTCCTATTTAAGTAAATTACCCAATTTTATTTGCTCTCATAGTCTGATTAGGGTGATTCTTCATACTTAATTAACTATAGGAATAGAGCACAAATTCAGTTTCTTATGAAAATCAATGGTGTTTTCCAGGTCTGGTTAGACATAGCATGTTATCAATTCACCAACAGAATGTCTTTCCTCACACTTTCTCTTTGGGGTCACTTGTAACTATAGAATTCTCAAATTTACATGAGATTTATTTTACATTATAATTGATGTTCTTTGCCTGCCTCATATGCTATTGATGTTTGATTTTATAACCTTGTTTTTTTTAGACCTGTGCAAATAAGGATTCGGGTCAGATCTGGGCCGGGCTTGATACAAATTATTAGCCCATTTGAATGGGCGGGCTTGGCCCGGCCCGGATTTGATGGGCTGAACTCTTTACTCATACCCGCCCACTTTAGCAGGCCGAACTGCCCACCGGGCCGCCTGGCCCGGATAAAACATCAAGTACATTTTTTTTACACAAAAAAAAATCAAAAAGAAAATATTGAACTCCTTTTCAAATGTTTAAAATAAAATTACCACTCGCCACATTTGCATAGCAAACATAATAAAAATATTGTTACATAATTAATAAACCCATCATACAGATTCATTAAAGCACTATTGATTTTTGTTTAAGAGGGGTGAGTGATATGAACTATTATACATGAATTAAAGAAAATTTTAAAATTTATAATGTCTAGATAATTAATACGTAGTAATGAATTAAATGTACTAATGAATATGGGCGGGCCTATTGGCCCGGATGGGCTAAAAGTAATTTCCATATCCGCCCAAATACAATTCGGGCTTGGGCCGGCCCGCCCATGTGGGTATTAAAGATTGTCCATATCCACCCATTTTAAAGGGCGGGCTGGGCGGGCCGGACGGGCCGACCCTTGTTTGCACAGGTCTAGTTTTTTTGTTCATTTGCCCTATAGTTGATTTGTTTGTTTTATAATGGCTAGTAGGTTAAGATACATAGGCTGCTATTGCAATCACGATTTCGGGCTAGGAGGAAGGAGGAAGCAGATTTGTTCTTTGTGCCAAGTTATGTTAAATGCGTCCGAATGATGGGTGGTCTGAATGATAAAGAAATAAATCAAACCTATGTTAAGGTAGTAATGCCTCCAAAATCATCAAGGTGGCTTTTATAGATGTTTCAGACTTTCATTTACTCCTGATGCTTTTCAGGCAGCGCTTCATGTTCCTTTTCTATTTGTGTCTTGTTGTTTTTATAAGAAAAATGCAAAATGTATTTTTGATTATTTTACTTTTTATTCTGGTACCTTTTTGCTTCCAGGTATTAAGTCAAATGCCATATTTCAGGTTATCTGGAGGCCGCAACCACATATTTGTTTTCCCAAGGTAATAACCAGCAAATTTATGTAATTATTGAATGGTAAAGGGAAATAACCCTTAAAGACTTAAAGGGTAGAGGGTATCTTAGTCAAAATTGCATTACACTCTCAAAGTTTAGCTGTATCAATAGGATTGTTGGATGATGTATGGTTTGGATGGGTAGAATCTAAATAAAGATGCCAAGCGTCTCATATTCTTAGTCATGTTTTAATGAGATGTTATTCTGGGTGCTCCCTTGTGTCTCTTTTGCTCTGGAGAATGCCAGCTCATTGGATTTGGCATTTTAACTCCTACGGAGTATTTTTTTGAAGTTGGACAATATGCATTTCGGGCTAGGGTTTTGCAAAGATTAGCTTCAGAAGTAATTAGTAATGCATTTATGCTTTTGTTCATTTGCAGTGGAGCTGGAGCTCATTTGTTCAAGTCATGGGCAACGTACTTGAATCGTTCTATCATTCTTACCCCTGAGGTACAATCTTATTAAAACTTGTTCATGTGGTTATATTTTAATTCCTTACATATTTGTCTTTGGAGCCTCTTTGTTATATAGGGGTAAGCCTGTGTGTTACTCGGAGTACAATGGTGCTATTAGAAATATTAACTAAAACAGAGTTTGAATGCTAATAGGAAACTACAATTTTCCCTCTATCCTATAACTTTGTTCCTAGTTTGACTTGGCTCACTTTTTAATAAAGTCAAAGTTTTGTGTGCAGATGTGTTCAGAAGAGAGAGTAACAATATGAACCACATATTTTTTATTCCTAAAAATAAAATGAGAAACAAATTTTGCAACCAGGACTTACGGAGTACGGGTTACTAACAGTAATAATAGGAGAAATTACTAATAATAATGCTCCGTACAAGGAAACTAATATAAGTAATAAATACTACTCCATCATAGTAATAATAACAAATAATATCCCTAACCAAGGTAGAGACAACTTAGACACATGCATATCACTATTTTCTTTTTAAAGTTTCTAGCAACTCCAAATTGGATCTACAGCATTTAT